GGGGCCTCGCTCCACTACTCTCGACATGCACTAAAGGCAAAAATCATGGCGGCCTGTCTTTCCATGTTCTGCAGGAAGATTCACTCTGGTTTTGCAAATGTCCAGAGCAGTGGACACGACCACCCTAGAGTTTTTAATGAATGATGATAGGAATGATGGTACGGCAGAAAGTCAGGGCCTGCCCACTGCAGGAACATCTCTGAATGATGACACAGTAAAAACTTACTAAAAAGTGATCAGCAAGCCAATGCTAACTGGAAAAGAAGACCTGCAGAGGTAACTTTTGATGTAACAGGAGAACAGAAATTTATGCTTATCCACAGTGAGGGGACTGTTAAGGGCATTAATAATGTTATTAATCAAAAAAAAAAACAGCGGAGGCGGCATGTTTTGAAACCCCAAAGGCAAAATAACCTGCGCCGGCAGAGAAACCACGTGCCAACTCGAAATGACCGATTTTGGTCCAAAAGTATCCGGTGGGCTTTTTTTTTTTTTTTTTTTTTTCCCCCTCTGACACCACGGCCGCCCCGACACCCGGTCCGACAGCACGGCAGTCGGTACTTCCGTTGCCTTTTTGAACTCAACGTGGTTTTCATTGCCGATGCGTGTTTGTTTTTGCCCATTCAATACTCAAAGGTGACATGAACGTACTTAACCCCCCCCCAAAAAAACAGTCCCTTGAGGTGAAGGAAAACTGGTTGGTGGAGGGGGTAGTGCTCTCTCACTCAGAGATCGGGGGACAGACTGCAGGAAGCTGTGCCCACGGTATAGTCCAAGATAAGGATGCACAGTCTTTTTTTTTTTGTCTTTTTTTTTTTTTTTTAAACGGGCCCAGTGCCCAAGGCTGATATTACCAATAAGAAGATCGAGGTCGGGGTCCTCACAGTCTACCCGGAGTGACCAAACAGAACATGCTGAGAACCGGGCTCAGCTTCCCTCATATGATGATGATGATTATGATGATTATGATGATAATGATGATGATGCTAAAGATGATGAGGATTAGAATAGAAACAATATAAAAGACTATGCTATATCAGCAATTCTGGTCTTCTAATCCTGGAACAACTCCTAGCCCTACCTGTACCAGGACATTACATCTCAGAGACAATGCCATCCTAACCAACGTCAACCATAGCTGACCTGTTCTCGCCACATAGACTATCCCTGGACCCATAGGTTGTCAAGGCAGCCCCCCCCGGTTTGCCACTGGATTGCCTTCCTCCCTCAGCAAATCCCCAGATCTCTCTACAAGGCCTCACATTCCTGCCATTTGCAGGTTACAGGGCAAAGCCCCAGCTCCGGCCAGCGTCGTTCTGGCATCGGCAAACCAGGGGCAACAAACAAAGTAACTCTGCAGATATCAGTATGGAAGAAGGACAAATGCCGCCAAGAGTTACAGAACGCTAGAAAGCTTAATTTCTGAAATCCTATATCCTAAATGAGGAAGAAGGCCTGTATCCTGAATGAGGAAGAAGGCCAGATGCCGCGAAGAGTTACAGAACGCTCGAAAGCTTGATATAACATGATTGAAAACTATGGAATTCTTTTTTTGTAATGACCCGCCAAAAAACACAGACTGAGAACACTGCTGATTTCTGGGATTTGTCACTGGAATGAATGCCTTGCTGTGATTCCCGAATTCTGCTGTGGTCCCAAGTCTGTGTGTATGCGTGCCTGCTGGTTTGCATGCCTGTCTGAGTGCTTGCCGGTTGTGTGTGTGTGCGTGCCTGCTGGTTTGCATGTCTGTCTGAGTGCTTGCTGGTTGGGTATGTGGGGTGACCCGCAAGGGTACTTGTTGGTTGCAAGGCCCACCGGGCCGGTTCTTACCTGTGGCCGTGACTTTGAAGGGTTGCAGGGGGGTAAACACGCCGGTAGCGGGGAGTAGGCCCACGGCACTTAGAGCAGCTGGGGAAAAACACTCAAGTAGCAGGTAGGCCGAGCAGAAGAAGACAAAAAGTTGGCATTTTTAGAGGCCCAGTAGCGGTAGGTTAGAGGTAGGCCAGTACCAGTCCAAGTAGCCC